CATGTCGGCACTGTTTTATTTGTACTGTAGGGTGCTTGAGGCGAGTAAGTGCACCCCACCCACCCCCCACCTCATCGCTCCTCCTGTCTGTGTGTTTCAGTGTAAGTGTGAGAGAACCAGGGCGTATCTTAATGAAATCTGACGTGCATTGTGACAATCAGCGGAGGAGCATCCTGCAGAGGTTAATATGCTGTACTCCTCAGAGTGGCATTCACTCACACACACACACACACACACACACACACACACACACACACACACACACACACACACACTCTAACACACAGTGTTTTCACTCTCCTAAATTGTGCAGCTTTTGAAGAGATGCCAATCACCAGGATTCGTCCCCTCGCTCACACCCTGCACCTTTTACTCGCAGACAGCAAATGCCAGATCTTACAAACTGTGCTAAATCGGTTGTTCGCTTTGCAGAGGAAGCAACATCTGCACAGCTAATTTACAGTAACGGCTTCTAATCAGCGCCTTGGGAGTGTGCTTGCAATTTTTGTTTAATTAAGAGGATATTATCAAGGTTTTAATAACCCAGGCTCCCCTCTGTTGGCCAAATTTAACTGTAGAAGATGAGATGTGATAGTAGCAGTGACATTAGCTACAGCAGCACGTATTACTTGGATTAATAATAATAGGGGTCAGAAAAGTAAAGTCACGATTGTAGTAGTTTTCACTCAGGAGTACAGCTCAAATCCCATGTTGGGAGTATTCTAATATTACATGTGTTTGAAAGCTGTGTCAGAAAATGTTGTATTTAAAAAAACAATAATGCTGAATCAAACTGTAGTTTTGGTTGTGAATCAGCAGCATCGGTATTAAAAATCCCCACTGATTCTGCCTTACTCTTCTCCCAAGACTGGGGTCATGTTGCTCAGACCATCTGCTGTCCAACCCGACACAGATCACCGCACTACCACCCCTGGATTATGGCATTAAAGGACACACACACACACGCATCTCGGCTTTAATGTTGCTGCCAAGAGACTGTTTTCAGTCCTCGCTCAGAGTGACTCAATGAACCGACTGGTATGGACACACTTACATTTCTGGAAGGAAAGGCTTTTTCTAATGAACCAACCCCAAAAATACAAAATAGAATGCTATGGCATGCTCTGTATGTGTTTGTGTGTCAGGCCATTCAAGAATGACAGCAACTATATCACATTAATACAGGGTTAGAGGTATTCAGCTGTTAACACTTTGTTTTGAATACACATAGTCATCGGATCGTGGTTAAAAAAAGGGATTTTTCAAATGTATGTATCCAAAAACGATTTTGTACTACGGAATATGACTTGCAGACAGTGTAAACACGGGTAGCCACACACGAAGCGTACAGTATTTCACTATCTCTGTCTCGTCCAATCCCTTTGTCCAGGAATACACGCAGAGCTCAGAGGTCCATTTCAGACTCACTCTGACACTGAAGTCAGTCAGGCATCGCTGATGACATGCCTGCGCGCAGACACACACACACACCCAAGGCTAAGTGATACATTTGTTTAAAGGAATTCTCCTGACTTTGCAAAATGACACGCTGCCCGCTCCGTTTCCCAGCGCTCCCTCTGACAACCACCAGAAGCTTTGCTCGTGATTCACTGTGGACAAGCTACAAAGACTTATTCTTAAAAATCCTCCACCAACTCCTTGCATGCCATTGCCCTCACATAAGACTCGTTGCCATAGCAGCGTAAAAACCTACATTGCCTTCTTTTTGACGGAGGCACTACAATAAAAGGGCAAAATACATCAAAGGATATAACTTCTGAAATATGGCTTTATAGAAAAATTATGAAAGCAAAAATCCTTGCAGAGCACAAACCTCACAAAGCGAAGGAAAGCCGCTTTGTGGGATTAAAAATTACTGCAAGAGGTCTTAAATGACAGCGGCAGCACACAAGTCTTGCGTCACAAATCATGACATGTAATGCCACGGGAGAATAGCAATCAATGATTTACTGACGGGGCGAGCGGGTCGAGCCAACGTTTGAGTCCAAGCTGAGAAGACGAGCGAGGCAGCACCACTCCCTCAGTGCATTGCTACAGAGCAGATCACTGTCAGCAATCAGAATATCCAAAGACATGACGAGGAAATGGTGTATTGCTAATGTTACAGTGTTAATGTTGTGGCACCCTTTACCTCAGTGATACACAAATTACTTGATGCGTTCATAAACCTTGAACTGAATAGCTTATGTGTGTCCGCCAGGTTTCTGCCCACGTTCACAACATTAGCAAACACATTCATAGCGTAAACCCTCATATCGGTGTTCGCTAGATGTTGAGAGAAGATGGAATATCGCTACATATATATTTCAAGAGCATAGTCATAATGTTCCCAGAAAAAACGACATTCAAATCGTAACTGCGTTGAATATGAGAAAGGGAAGTGATCTTCATAAAAACACTCTGCATTAAAGTAGAGGCTGGTCAAAACACCAGATGAATACTTTCGATGCCCCGATGGCTCCCAAATAATACTAAGACAGAGCAAGCTATGTCAGCGAGCTGCTCAGAAAGGTCTCGATGTTGCTGTCCGCTTCTGAATCAAGCTTCCTTCCGCCACGGAAATCAGCGTTCAGCGGGAGCAGATGGCCGGTGCCATCGGCCCTGTCGGCCCCGTTGTGGCTTAATGGGACATACGGGCGCTGAAGGTACGAGGCTCAATGTGACGCGCCACGTGGAAACACAGCTCACTGCTGTTTCGGTTGGTTGGCTTTTACCTGAAAACATTCTGATGCCGCCATTGAATAATTAACTGTAGGAAATATCCAGTTTACCACAAGGTTTATTGCTATTTTCAGCAAAGCTGATAAAATGGGACTTTTCATCTGCTTAAATACTTATTTTCTCGCCATGCACGGCGCTGAAACGCTGCATCACGACGCATTCAACGTTAATATTTCATCATTCACGATGTCATGCTAGTATTCCTCGGCACAGTTTTACAAAACGCTGCCGCATGCTTTTGACTCAAAGAAATGACCTGATATGGGAAAAAGAGGAACGGCGCATTCATAATGGATGTTTAGCACAGCTGATGTTTTGTTTTGAGCATAATTTTCCCCCAAACAAGCTTGTTATTTTTGGTACACGTTTTTGTTGCTGTTTGACATTGCTCTGTACCATTTTGGTAACTTGCAGGTCAAACTATATCTACATATAAAATGCGGCTGGAACAAAAGTATCTTTATCCCAAAGGTAATTTCATTTAAAACGGCAAAGCATTACCTTGATCTTCATATTTTTCACTCTTCAAACAAATGTTTGAAGCTAGCGTTAACTAACTAATGCCTACTGGATTTCTGTTGGTCAGGCAGAACATTTTTTTGTTCAGCCAGCGCAAAAGTTATTTAATTGCTTATTAATTAGTTAAAAAGAGTTTTTAACTACTATTCTATTTTACCAACCTGACACTCTGAAACCTGAGAGCTTGTATTTTACAAATGCTTGTAAAACAAGTGACGGGAATTTGATTCCCGTCATTTTAAGTTACATGAACCCAATAGAAAAAACGTTTGTAGATCAACCACAGCTAAATAATGGGAGGGGCCCATGTGCACATCACTGCATAATAATCATCTGCTGGTAGAAATTGTTCCGTATGACGTACTGGTAAAAACAACATGTGTAATATCATTGTTATGGTGTCATCTAGGTGAAAAAGGCTTTTTTTTCATTTCAACGCGACTTTAAAGAGCTCGGCACCTCGTTGCCGAGTTATGATTCTCTCTTTGGCCTCCACGCAACTTGTCAGTCTTATAGCACCACAGCGAGGTGTCAAAGCCCTCAGTAGCAAAGAGGAGTCCCAACCGGGAGAACCAGTGTTAGGCCCCGGGAGACCTAGAGCGTCGCGATAATGACACACCGGAGCCACGGCCGTGCTTTACCTCCAGGTGAGTGTGGTGGAAAGGTGCTGCTCTATGTTAGAACTTTCTACACTGTCATTTTGGGCGGGCGAGACATCAAAGCAATGCTCCACGAGGGAAATTTTGAAATACCCCTGAAATCCTAACCGGTGTGGATTTATAACATCCTATAGTCAGCTGAGTGAAATAAAGTGTTTAACAAAGATAATCCCTGTAAATAAGCTGCTGAATATAATATGTGAACAGTGCACATTTTCTATAAAACTGCATGCAGTATGAATACATATTTAGGGGTAATGTACATCAAAAGGATCAGACATTCTTATCCAACACACATACAGCAAGGGAACTTCAATACAATATTCAAAATAAGCATACGAGGAGACAGCCAAAGGGGAAATGTATGTCACATCCCAGCCTGTGTCTCATTTCCACGCACTGCTTCTCCAGATCAATGTTAGGAGGGAAGACCCTTATAGCTGCAGATGTATTTTCAAAAGCTCCACCACGAACAACAGTAAACACGGGCGAGCAAAACACAATGCCGGTCACAGGTGATTGATGCCCGGTTGTCTGTGGCTAATGAGCCGGTGTGATGGATGCAGCATCTGATGCTCGTGCACCTCGTTGAGAGATCAGAGATTAGAGACCGTTTTAAGATTCTTCTTCTTGTAGTTGGATGCAATTTAAATCATGTATGACGATATTTAGCGACCTGCAGTAGCTCAGTTGGTGTGCTTTAAAATCGCATGCGTGTTCATTAAAAGCCACAAGTCCCCTCATACCCCCCCACACACACACACCCAAAGGTGTAAGTTATCAGTGTGAATCAATTGGAAAGGTGTCATCCACACAACTAGTGTGCAATGCATGTTTTACGAACGCCAAAAGTAACACAACATTTTTGAAAATGTAGACATAGGTGAAAACATCGCTATGCCCGTTAGGAAGGTGAACCGCGAGGCAAATCACTACTAAATAGGTACAAATCTCAAACGGAGTCTGGCGCCCGCTTCTCACAGGAACGGCGGTCACGTCACCAGGGTCGAACCGGAGGGGTAACGTCGACACCCGGCGCGGGGAAGAGAGACGGACGGGCCTCGCGTTAACACCCCTTACCTTCGTCAGCTGGGCTATTTTCTTGCTCATCTTCAGGTGCAGGTCTTGGGTATATTCCATGGTGATGCCGGTCTGAAAGGACATGCTGGTTGCAGTAGATGTGCTAAATTTCCCCTGACCGGCAGGGCAGTAATACTGCTGCCAACTCGACCCAGACGCCATCTTCACGACGATGCTCCAGATGCTGAAGAGAGATACTGGCTGTATGACGGGGAGCGGGGGGGGGGGGGACCGGCGAGCGGTGGAGTGACCCGGGACAGTGGCAGATTTTTGGCCGCGACACAACAGAATTAATTAAGCATTTAAAGCCTTTTTAGCCCTAGGACTGATAGACGAATTGTCTTCATTTTTTTACTCGGTTCCGGATACCTGTTCACCGAGGGGTGGATTTAGGGATTTTTAAGCTCCAGATGCCTCTGCTTCAACCATCTTGTCCGTTGAAATGCTGTATTCGGCACTCCGAGTTGCGGGTCTGGTCGGCTGACTGGTGCTGCGGGGCGGCTTTCGGGCTCCCGGCCGGTCACCTTGATGCCGAAATGTCTCAACGGGAGCCGCTAAGAGTGTTTCTTCCTCGGTGCATTCCGACTACATTGACGGAGAGTGTGTAGAGATTGAAGGTACGTGTGTCCGTGTGTGTGTCCGGGTGTGTGTAGGACAGGCTCAGCGGTTGGTTGCTGCTCCTCTGTTGCCATGGATCACCTCAACAGTGTGTGCTGCATTCGTGTAGGGTGGGAACAGCGCTGCCTTCAGGGGACGTCGGAAAACTCGCAATACAAAAATAGGACGCACGACCACGCATGAGAGCCCCGGCAGACAATGCCGTGATTTAAATTACAATCTTTGGATACATTTAACCTGTGAAAGTAGTTCCACATGGTTCGTCAAAGTATAACGCATCCTGAAGGCTGAGAAAATAAAAAACATCTGTTAAATAAAGTAAATTTAAGTCAATCAGCTGAACTCAACTAGCCTAAATAGCTGAACTTCTAACAGGCATTTATTGGTCGGTTCTCATTTAGCTCTAGTTCCATCACATTAATCATCCATCTTGTGTTGTGACAACAATACACTTAGTGGGGTAGGATAATGCATTAAGTGTTGCTCTACAGCAACATAAACTGTATATATTCTAAGTCAATGTAAATATGTTGATGATTCACTGAATAATTCACAATGTAAAAAATAGATAAAACCATTATCCAACACTTAGGATAACCTATTGGGAAAATGTTGTGCTCCCTTTTAGAATCAAGGCAATATTTAAGTATTTATATGACTGAGCCACAGGGCTCAAAGATGCATTTTCTCCTATCCTCCAGTAAAAAAGAAACCAGAGGAAGTTTGATTTTATCAATAGAAAAATTACCAGTATTCACATTTGGGCTTCACATTAAGAAGACTACATGAAAACATATACTTTGTCTCATGAATTGGAATCTACTATAGACTGTTTCAGTGAGGAAAAAGAAGGGTTCAATAGGTCATTAAGTCACTTAACTCACGTTGGTGCTAGGCCTGTACGAATCAATGAATTTCATTGTAATAGTTATGAATAAACAAAAAAATCCTTTAATAATATTTAATAACAGTCAGAAGGGCTAATGTTTTAATCATGGAATACTGTCAATTCATAGTCCAAATGTCCCAAACCATTTGCATCCACCCAACTCAAGATGACAGCTGCAAGTTTTGCTAAAAGCATGTGGTGTGTTGTGTGGCATGTTGGTTACACAAAGACCAATGCCAGGTAGTGAACGATGACTCTTAAAGTGCTCTACATTTTTTGTATCCTCGACCTCGACACCAGTGTCCTTTTGGCTCTTGCATAAATTCATCTACTTAGCAATGTTTTCATATTTAAAGTATGTGTAAAATACTAAACTGTTCTTTAGGTACCTTTCATGTTGTATATGAAAGATAATATACAGGCTTACAGTCTGGTGCTGGTGTTTTCATGAAGATTAAAACCTCGCCCATCATCTGCTGCTCAAATAAATGTTAACGTTCACTGTGCCGCTTCCTGTTTGGAGATCATAAAACATGAAAGCCAATGGTTAAAATGTTCATCAAAATATAAAAGTATTCATTCAAACATTAAAGTATGTTTTTAAAATATAAAAAACCCATAGAAACAAAAGGGAGGTTGTCTAAAGTACACAGTTTTTTCGTGGAACATGAACGCACCACGTTGAATCTTTGTGACTTCACTTTTTTCATCAAAGCTTCACTGAAGTAAAATAAAAAATTTAAACTGACTGGAATGACAGCTGCAGGCAGTACAACACATAGTCATTACCACAAGGATGACGCAAATAGTTTTGTTCATATGGTTTCTATTTATGCTTCCACGGGATTTTTGTAGCACTGCGTGTTCGCTGCATGCGTGTCTGTGTACAGAGTTGATGTGTTAGAATTTCCCCAATGAAGGTCTCTAAATTCACAAGTGTTGGCATTGATATTTTAGGATTGAGTCATAATATAGAAATACATCACAGACAATCTGTCAATGTCATCATGATCAGATTAAAAATGTAAATGTTTGTGTCAAAAGACGCGCAAAAGCTGATAAAACACGCTGCCTTCTATGTCGCCAGACAGATTAATTTAATTGTCGCAAATCAAAATATCAACACATGTATAGTATTCCATCTATTAGGTTTTAGCATTCTAGTTTTATAGGGTAAAGTTGTAAAGAATGACTCAAAGAATGTGTTGCTCTAATGCAAGCTGTAAATGTTAGCATGTGTGGCTAACCAATAAACTCCGACTGGCCATTGATAACTCAATCCTGCAGTCACAGTGACTTTCCTTAAGCAAATGACAGGAGATTGTATGATTCTTTCCGTTTTGTCTTTATTTTACGCAGCAACGCGTTAAGTAAATATACAAATTATACATTCTGTCACATGGTAGAACAACTATGTGCTCTTGCTCCTTTATGCAGCTCTTCTGTGTTGCACCTGCTGCAATCATCAACTCAACAAATCAAGACAAAAAGTAGCGTAAATTCCAAAATAATGTTACATATTGTTGTATTCAAAAATGAAGAAACGCCGGACGGACAGAGGTCATCGCAGATCAAAAGGTTAAATGTGGTCTTCTGGTGAGTTCAATGTAACTCGGATTTCGAATGGCCCTTAGTCAATATCAGTTGTTGTGCAGGTATTACATGCATGCATTCCAGTTGATTACATTACATCAAATACAATCATAACTGTACATTGGTATTATTCTATTACATTTGCAGAATTACAGTGGTTTTACAATATTGTCATTACTTTATAGATTACACAGTTTCAGAATCATGGCTGTATTCTGGTGTACACTATATGCATTTTTATTCATTTTATGAACCGGGTTGTCAGTTTATTTCTAATATCCTACAATATCTTTACTTCCTGACAATGAGCATTAATCAAAATTCCAATTAACTAATGTATTCACTTCTGGATCTTACAACTAGATTTTGACAGGTTTAATCTTTAAACACAATGTCAACTATTCAGCTCTCAAGAGCAGGAAAGTCAGCCTGACACAGCGTTTTCTGCAGATTCTGGGAGCTGACATTGACTTAATTAACTAGAAAAAAAGTAGCACTAGCTAAAAAGGCCAAAGCAAAAAAAATGTTTTTCAAAGATTCTCAATGTGAGGAGGACAAGTACTTTCACATGAACATGCTCTATACTCACTTTTAATAATCATTGTTCACTGAAGCTTGAAGTGAATGGGTAAATTCCTTTTTTGCCTTGTATTTGTCTCGTTGTGGGTCAATAAGTCCTTAAACCATCAAGGCCAGTGAAAACTCATTGTCTCTGCTACACAACCATAAACACAAATGCATACACGGATAGTTTGATGTGTCTAGTTATTGGAGAAAGCAATGGTGAGTATTCACAGAGTTTAATATGTTTAAACAGGAAGGAGCCTCGATGTCCATCAATAAAGGGATTTAGCTCCCAGGTACTCAGATGTATTAAGGTATACAAAGTTACAGACGCAGGCTCGGTGTTTGGTTTATATGTATCTACCCACCGCAGGGGCAGGGGGCATCAATAAGCTCTGACAAATCCCCCATATCTACAATAATTTAACATCGAAACTTACAACGCTTCAGCCTATGAACCGTATGAGACATTCAGGGACAAAGTGAAGCAATGGTGGATAACTGACAGGATCTTGCAGCCGAGGTCTGCATCGTCTCTATGAATTAGACGAGAATAATGTCACTTAATATTTTTTGCACATAGGCCTGCACGTTCATGTAGATGCATCCATGTGTGGCCTCTCGCCTTCCACTCTCCAAAACACAGGGCCCCCTCCAAATCCAGGCTGTAGTTCGAAAACTGTCCCTGGCTATTTCTTGTTAGTGTGTCAACCATACTTGTCCAACTTTTGGCAAGAAATCATTCTACCCCAGAATGTCCCACAGATACGGCCTCCAAGGAAGCTAAATTGGCTTTATTTTTGTTTTTTACTTTGTGGTAGCCATCAGAGTCCAGTCAATTGATGAAAGCTTGGCTTTGCTCTGGCAACAAGAGACCACATGGGACCTGGGTCTGGCTCACACTGTATATGGCTGACAGATTTGGTTCGATTTCAGGGGGATCGAGACTTTGTAAAACCCGGCTGCGGGTAGCTGAGCATGTGCCAGCCTTTAGCCAGTGTCACTGCCAGTAGATAGCGCCAAATCTTATGCATCATTAGATGAAAGAGGCAGGCCCATTGTATTTTGGTATTTTGAATACCTCTATTACCTAAAAATTGGAATTGGCCACTCATGCCTAATTATTAGGAGATATGATTGCACGTCACACATTTCCATTCCAAATAACACTCCAACAACATATGTTATCAATATTGATCAATAGACTGGGGTTATTACAGTAGGAAGAACCATTATTTAGTGAGCTCAGGCCTCTTTACTTTGGTATCATGGCTATGTCGTTGAGGTGGAGTGCCAAGGGACTTTTGTTCCTCTCCTCATATCAGTAAATCAATGAAACTTAAGTAGCCCCACAGGGAGCAGTAGCCAAGGCTCTCTTCCTCTGCTTTTCAAATGAATGTGGTCATCTCGCAGAGACAGGAACAGAATACAAGACCTAAGTCCTTTTGTTTATTAAATGACAGAAAATCATATTACAGCAACGGACCATGTACATGTAGTCTATCACGGATAATTACTAAGTAAACATCTCATTATAAGGTGACTTCACTAGTTCTTTACCTTGTAAGTACAAATGTTCTACTGTTTGCACATCCAGTCAGTTGCTGTTTGACAAAGGCCTTTATAACAAGGTGTCCCCACTTGAGAATATGAGTTGTTCCAATAGGGATAAAATACCTCACTGACTCCTTAATGCATGAAAGTAAGGCTTGGATTCAACTTTCTTTCCTTTTAAATTAAGAGATTTTCACCAAAAGTCCAGATCTTTGTCATTGTCAACTAATGCATTTAATTTGTCATAGAGAGAAATTTACAAATTCTTGCACTTGAAATATAATTTGTGGCTCAAATGAAATGAAAATGTTACCCCAGTTTGGTGAATGTGTGTATATGAAGTGTTTCAAGAGAGCCTGGGTAACCAGCATCACTGTTGTAAAATAACCCGCGTATGTGCACATCATGTGATGTGACATGTGATTCAGGATCCTACACAGTTCCTGGAGGTGAAAAATGTAATGAATCACTTAAAACTTCATGCTCTGCTTA